GTTGCAGGAGGTGGTCGCGGCCAAAAATGGAGCTCGCAAGGGCCACATGTCCCACTCCCCCCGAGATCATTTTCGCTTGCAGAGGGTTACAGGAGGCTGTCTCAGCTGAAAACAGAGCTCGGGAGCCCATTTTCACTGGTAGAGCACCCGGGCCACTATAGGCGCCCCCCCTTGATATGAGTGATATCATGCTGGCCACGCCCATCCTGTCCACCCCCACCCCACCCCTGAGGACAAACACAACCTTGATACGGCCCTCAATGAAATTGAATATGACACCGCTGGCTTAAAGCATCCTAGTTACTTACCCTCACTTACAAATATCCAGGCGTTTTATGTCTTTAATTTGGGGAATCAAAATACAGGGATATAGTCTGAGCATTGAACAGGTTCTCCCGAAACAACAAAGTTCAGAGTTGTGTAGCCTTCAACATCTACACCACTATTTTTTTGGAACCTAGATATTGTGGCTTTCTAGAAACACTCTGTAATTGGCTTGTCTCAATTAAAGTTATGCAAACTGATGGTAGTTTCCTCTGAACACTATTGCCCACGTTCATATTTCTCTATAGTCAATGGAATTGAGTGAATTTCGCCAGCACAAACCGCAGCAGATCTTATATCCCTGCAGTCAGTTGTCAAAAGTAATTCCTATAAATAAATAAATCCATTTATCCAGCCATCTCTCTATCCTGCTACCATATCTGTGAATTACAATGCATTGAATTCACTTCAGAAGAACAAGACGAATGGTTAGGCAGTGGCTGCTGAAATTTGCTTCCAGTTTGTAAGATAATCCCTTAAATCATTTTAAGTCCTCCCAATTACATTTTAGCTCAGCATTTTAAAGAAATTCCTTCAATGGCATTTAAAAGCTTACCACACCTGAAATACTGTTCTACTGCTTCAGTGCACATGCATATAGACCTACTTACTCCCTGGCACAAAACGTATGCAAAGATATCAATAAATAAAAATATTTAATCATCGAGGGCATTTTGAAAGAGTGTAACACTATTTTCTTTTTGGTAAAAGTACTTCTATGCCATTTCTCATTATAGAGAAAAACCCTGAAGTCGTTTCTAACAGCCATAAAAATATCCCAAAATAAAACCAAGGGAAGTAGAAGGAAAATAAAGTAAACATTAAATAAAAACAAGGCAAGGACAAAATGAGAAATATAATAATTAATCATTAGAGGAAAAAAGATAGGCAGGCTTATAATTAAGACATCCATGGTGTGAGTTAGCACCACACAGAGGTGAGGTCAACCGTGAATATTGACATTATTGCAAAAAAGCTCAAATTAGCACGCTACAGGAAGACAACAGAAGCTTTCCTAAAACCACAGGCATTGTAGGCCAACATAATTGGACTTTCTGAGGGCACAAAGTCATCATGCCCAGACACCGACACACTATTTTACTCCAACATGAACATTTAAGAACAATTTAAGAGTTGACATGATGAAAAGGGAAAGGATGCCCTCTGGATAGGCAGCGTGTCCTGAACTCTCCCCCAAATGCTTTGGAAGGATCACCGTTTTTCCCTACTCAGCCACTCCATTAGCTCTCTGACATCTTCAACGGAAGAAATGATCCTTCAACCCAAGCCACCTACAGCTGAAACTTCTAACTCTGTTAAAAGAAGGTGATTCCAGCTAAGGGCGTGAGATGCATTATTTTCCTTACCTTTGTGCCGAAGTGCTATAGCTGTTATCATAGGAATCGTAGCTCTGTTCATCATACGAAGTGCCGTATCCATCATCGTATTCCTGCATAGAAACGCCCACATAAAGGCAGCATTACAATTCAAGAGTTATACCAGAACATCACTTTGTCTGTCTGAAAAAAAACCACCACTCCCCTCCCCCCCCAGAAACCTAAATTCACAGAGAGATGCTAGCAAGACTAAGTATTTGGTAAAAGTTAGCTCGGGTCTAATTCAGAAGGAAAATGGAACAGCTGGTCCCAGGGCAAGCAAAATCTTAGGAACATCTGATGGGAGGACATGGGAAGCTACTAATCAGATAAATTACTTCATCTTGACTTATGGTCAAATTAACTGCACTGGACAAGGGAAAATAAACAAGAAGGGGATGGGGAATTAAGCTAAACAGATGTCTGTGGAGATTCTCAGTCATTCAGGTCATGGATGCCCCAAAGATGCTTTTTTCAAGAGGCAACTGGACTTTCTGATTTTTCCTTGAGCATGTTTCACTTCTCATCCAATTAGCTTCTGAACTGAAGAAGCTTCTTTGATGAGGAGGGAAACGTCTCCAAGGAAAAGCCACAAAGTCCAGTTGCAACACTAAAGGATTTTAAATCCAAATCAATTCCTTTTCTTCAGGATGACAGAAAATTATCCTGAATGAGCAAAGGTTACAAATCAAGATCAATTTTAGCCAGCATTTTGAAGGGCAAAATAGCATCTGAGCCACTAAATAAATTAGTCCAGATACCAAGTTAAGGCTTGGAGATTCACCAAGACACTCTAAACGTGTCCTAAAAAAATGGACTGGACTTCTTCTAGATCAGGGGCTTTCAAACTTGACAGTTTTAAAACTTGTGGACTTCAACTCCCAGAATTCCTTCTCCAGTCATGCTAGCTCAGGAATTCTGGGAGTTGAAGTCCACAAGTCTTAAACTTGCCAAGTTTGAAGATCTTGATCTAGAAGGACAAATCTGTGACTTGTGCAAGGGACAAATAGCTTTTGTTCTGACTCACAGCAGTGGAAATGTAATCACAAGCCCAACTACAAGTGTTAGCAACTCTACTGTCCTACACAGAGACCCCTTCTCCACACAGGTAAGAATGAAAATCCTGGACATTCAGTTTGTACTCTACAGAAACCATTAAAGTTTCAGCAATGCCTGCAGCTGGCCAGTCTCTTGGTAACCAGGATTATTTTTGTTTTATCACAGTTGATGGCCAGCCTTCCTTCTCTGCAAAGGCCTTGGAGCCTTTGCCTTAAACCCATTTGTGTGCTCAAAAGGACTGCATGAAGAAGATTGAGACACGGCTGTTGGCTGACTCTGGAAAATTCAGGTTTTGCTGAAATGATGGAAGGAATACGAAAATGAAAAGAAGGGGATGCATCTTTGCATGGGAGAAGAATGGGAAAGGTCACATCAATGGTTGCATTGAATCTGCCTTGAGTATTTTGTTGTAACAGAATTAACAGAACAATAAGAGTTGGAAGGGACCTTTGAGGTCTTCTAGTCCAATCTGCTACACTTGCAGGAGATCCTGTACCATTTCAGACAACTGACTCTTCTCGAAAACCCTCAGTATTGGAGCACCCACAGCTTCTGGAGGCAAATCATTCCACTGATTAATTATTTTAATTGTCAATAAATTTCTCCTTGGTTCTAAGTTGCTTCTCTTCTGTATTAGTTTCCATCCATTGCTTCTTGTCCTGCCTTTAGGTGCTTTAGAATTATATTATTTTTCTAAGTTTGTAGAAAATGTTTCTGCCATTTTACCTTTCAGTAAATTCCCCTGTGTCCTAAATGAGGTGCACATCTTCTACCAGACCCCACAGCAAAAGGAGAAGGTGGCGAAGGTTGAGCGTTGCCCTTAAATCTATGGCAAGTGCTAAGAGACAGCATTCTTTACAGGTAGTTGGAATACTTTTCTACCAGGTGTTGCAAGTGCTGTTCAAGTCTTGGCTGATACCTCCTGAATCCAGCGTTGCGGCTCTGCCAAATGGCCTCCTGAGACAACCAGTTGACTCATCTCCCAAACAGATGACTGGTTTCCCTTTCGCTGATGGGATTTCAAAGGATAAGTGGGAAGAGGGTTGCTGGATTTCTCCTTTTCTCTTTCTAATAAATTGGCATTGGAATTGATCAGATACAATGCTTAGAAATCAATCTGGAATTACCAGTGTAAACCAAACTCCTTAGGCCCAGTCATCTGTATTAGCCTTGGCTACAGTTGGCCAGGGATCAACACTCCCTAAAGAGAAGTTGTATTTCTTCAGTTGTAAAATGAGTCGCAAGGTCATAAAGGGAGACAAAGCCACTTAAAGAAAGGGGAAGAGAAAAAAAATCTCACCAACTCTGGATATTGCAAACAAGTAACTTTCTGGATCCTGGTTCAAGAATAGAAGACAAATCTGAATGGTGGATGAAACTGACAGTGATCTAAAACTTTATTTACCATCGGTAGTGAGTAACCATATCCTATAATGTGTTGAATATCTATTATATAAATGAGAAGATGCCTACTGCTGTGTGCTTAGATAGACAAGGAAAGAGGGTGGCAATCATATCCACAGTACTTTCTTGACCTAAGTTTGATATATTTACTTCTTCTCTTACCAGCCAATAAATCCTCATTTTGAAAGGCTACAGATTTAAAGTAATTGTCAAAAGAGATCTTCTTTTAACAAAACAGAGGGACAGTATTAAGATCACATGAGTGATCTTGTGTTAATACCACTTTATAATGTCTTGGAAAAGGCCACACTTGGAATATTGCATCCAGTTTTGGTGTAAAAAATATGTTGAGACTCTAGAAAGAGTGCAGAGAAGAGCAACAAAGATGTTTAGGGGTCTAGAGGCTAAAACATATAAAGAATGGTTGCTAGAACTGGGTATGTCTAGTCTGATAAAAAGAAAGACTAGGGGAGACATGATAGCAGTCTTTCAAAATCTCAGGGGCTGCCCCAAAGAAGAGGGAATCAAGCTATTCTCCAAAGCACCTGAAGGCAGGACAAGAAGCAACGGGTGGAAACTGATCAAGGAGAGAAGCAACCTAGAACTAAGGAGAAATTTCCTGACAGTTAGAACAATTAATCAGTGGAGCAACTTGCCTCCAGAAGTTGTGAATGCTCCAACACTGGAAGTTTTTAAGAAGACATGGGATAACCATTTGTCTGAAGTGGTGTAGAGTTTCCTGCCTAAGCAGGGGGTTGGACTAGAAGACCTCCAAGGTCCCTCCCAACTCTGATATTCTATATTCTAAAACGCTAGTGTACTGTAATCATCTTTAATACAAGCGTCCAAATTTTAATCACATTGATCACAGGGATGTTGCAATTGGTCATAACTGTGCAAAACAGTCATAAGTCATATTTTTCAATGATGTTGTAACTGTCAACTGTCACTAAGCATGTAGTTGGGGAAGGAGGAAGGATACCAACACATCAGCTTGTCTGATTTTACTGAATCCATTTTTTGGAGACTTCAAGTCAGGAATGTGGAAAGGAGGTTCTCCTGGACACTCTTGTTCTCTGCTCAAATGAAGCCCAAAAAGACTTTGAACCTGGGATTCATATTAAGTACTTCATATTAATATCACCGGGTGTTTGAAGTGGCCTCTAGACAAGATGGACAGCGCTCAAAACAAATTGGCCATTGAAGGGAGCCTGGAGGCCTTTTAGTCCAACTGCTTGAGCAGTAAATCTTATGTCATTTCAGACTAATGGCTGTCCAGTCTCTTCTTAAAATTCTCCGTGATAGAGCACCCACGACTTCTGGAGGCAAGCTGTTCCATTGATGGATTGGTCTCACCGTTAGGAAATTTCTCCTTAGTTCTAGGTTGCTTCTTTCCTTGGTTGGTTTCCATCCAGTTTCTTGCCTTGCCTTTCAGTGATTTGGAAAATATTTTGACCCCCTCTTCTTTGTAGGAACCCCTCAAATATTGGAAGACCAAGTGTGATGTTACTAAAGCTTTGTACTAGAACTTCATATGATCTTTATTTTATCCCTCTATTAATGCAGCCTAGGATTGTATTGGCTTTTTTCGCTGCCGCCACACACCGTTAGCTCATATTTAAGAGATTGTCCACTAGGACACCAAGATTCCTCTCCCAATTACAGGCATTAAGCCAAGTTTCCCCTAGCCTGTATTTATAGTGTTGGCTTTTCTTGCCTAAGTGTAAAACCTTACTTTTATCTATGCTGAATTTCATTTTGTTAGATAGGGCCCATTGTTCAAGTCTTTAAAGATCTTTCTGGATCTTGAGCTTGCTTCTGGAGTGTTGGCTATTCCTACCAGCTTAGTTATCGGCTGCAAATTTGATGAGTTCCCTTTCTACTCCTTCATCTAAGTCATTTATGAAGATATTGAAGAGTATTGGACCCAAAACGAAACCTTGGGGTATCCCACTGCTTACTTCCCTCCATGCAGATGTAGTTCTGTTGAGGACTACATGTTCCAAATGGAATTCTCAGCATGTATACGATATTATTTGAATTTTAAATACATTTCGGGAGAGTGAATTTGAAGAAAAATGAGACTCAGCAGAGTTTTTGGAAAGGCAAAATAATCTGTCATAGGAGCTCATCCTGTTCATATTTGAGATTGGGCTTTGTTCGAGTTTCCTGTCCTTGAACCTTGGATGCTTGAGTTAAGCACCTGTGAAAAGCTAGGCAAGCCCTCAATTTTAGTGACAGCCAGTGGGAGAGAATTTTAAGATTGTGGAAAGAATTGCAGAGACCCAGGTTTAAGTTTACCCTCCTTTGAAGAAACTCAGCAGGCAATTTGGCCCAATCTCTCTCTCTCTTTTTTTGTTGCAGCACAACAGAGCTCACAAAATTGTTGCTGTAGGGGGAAAAGGGATGAGAGATGCATGAAGGCTGATCTGAACTCCTGGAGGGAAGGGAGCATATAAACAACCAGCAAATAAAATGCCTGCATCACATAATCCTTTAAAATGCCACTGTAACTCTGGGTAATAGCTCAAATTACAGTATATTAAAAAAAAAAAATCCTGCTGATAAAGAGCTTCTTAGGTGTTGCCTGAGAATTATATTATTTATCCGT